TTCGTTGCCCTAGCCTCTGTCTCTTCTTTTTTTTTTTTTTTTTTGTAACTTGTAAGTTTTGTAATAATAAAAAGTAATACAAAGGCGCGCGCCCTATTCAACCCGGTCACCTTAAGCCCTTGCAGGTGACACTCTGGCGCCTTGCGCCTCCGGCGCCTTTAACAACTATGCACAAGGTGTCCAAACAATGTGAGGGAATTGCCCTTCAATTAGTTGTCTAGCGGCCTTGTAATTTGGGGCATTGTCTATAATTACTTGGATCACATTTTGGGGGCCAACCTCATTTATGACTTCCTTCAACAAATTGGAAATGAAAAACTTGTCTTTAATTCCACTGGAACAATCAACAGCTTTCAAAAACATGGGACTCCTTCTGTCACAACCATAAAATTAATTAAAGGCCTTCTTTGTGGATCACTCCAACCATCACTTGCAATGCTAACACCCTTTGCCTTCCATGTACCCTTAATTGGTTGCAATAATCTATCAATATTTGCCTTTTCTTTTTGAAGTAGAGTGGTTCTCAATAGATTATAACCCGGAGGCAAATAATCCGACACAGGATTATTTGCAGCATAGTTGTATGAACTCACATAATACGGGTTTCTTGCTAGATGAAACGGCAATCCTGCCGAATAAAACATCCTAGCAATCTCTGAGTGCAATTGTCCCCAAGCCTCATTATTAAATGCCTTTTCAATGGCACCCCCACTTGCCTTTCTTTTCTTTGGTACATAAGCCTCTTGAGTGAGACTAGTAGTACCACCCAATGATGCACTAGATGGCGGCAAAGGAACTTTTTTTGGTTTAGAATTTTTAATTCTCAATTCGGCTTCTTCAATTGCTTTTTGCATTTCTGCAATATTCTGAGATGTGACTTTTGGGCATATGCGAATACCCATACTAGTGTTTTGCAACAAGTAGGCTTTAACTCTTGTGTAAGACCCCCTGAATTCCTTACTACAAAAGTGGCATTTGAATAAAAAATTTCCTCCTCCATCACCAATTTTTTCTAATTGTGCGACATAGTACCAAAGTGGTTTGTTCTCATCTTGTTCAAATTGAGGAGTACTACTAGCAACTAATGTAGACAACATTGAAATGTCTAATTCCCTAGACATAAAAAGAAAAGAAAAAAAATCCATACTTATAGCAGTCAGCAAAGAAAGAACAGTCAGCAAAGAATGAATAAATTCCTATTTCATCACAGATTCACAAGTCATATGCAACAGCTGAAATTAAATTAAAGACGAAATCCTATTAAATCAAGAATAAAGACAACAGAGAAGAAGAAGAAGAAAGAAATTAGGGTCTGTGAAAAAGGAAAAACACCAGAGAAGAAGAAAGAAAGAAAGACGGGTTTGTGAAAAATGAAAAAAAAAAAAAAAAAACAACAACAACAAAGAAGAAGAAAGAAACTGGGGTTAGTGAAAAAGAAAAAAAAAAAAGAAAAAAAGAAGAAAGAATTTGGGGTTTGTGAAAAATGAAAAATAAAATAAAACAAAGAAGAAGAAAGCAACCGGGGTTAGTGAAAAACGGAAAAGGAAGAAAAAAAAAAAAAGATGAAGAAGAAAGAAAGAAAGAAACTAGGGTTTGTGAAGAAAAAGACAGAAAGAGGAAGGAGGATGAAAAGAGGAGGAAGAGGGGAGAGAGAGAGAGAGAGAGAGTGACCTGGAGGGAGTCGCCTTTGATAGGCAGCAGGAAGTTGCAGAGCTTCGTCACTTTGAGAGAGCAACCCAGACGTCCTTTGAATCTCATCTTGTAATAGTGTAATGACTAGCCTTAAATATCTATTTCTTTTGTTTAAAATTGCATAGTAACCTTGAAAGTTAAAATTATTATGTTCAGACCACATAATTGTTAAATAACTTCATATATTTATACTTTAACCCAACTTTCTTTCAAAAATTATCTTTTAGACCCCCGAAAATAAGATACGCATGTCGGACACAAACCCCTGGCATGTCGGACACGTGTCCGCAGAGTGTTCGTGCCGTGTCCGAAAATAATAATAAAAAAAAAAAATTCCAGACACTTTTTTTGGCGTGTTCGACACGTGTCGGGGTGTGTCCGTGTCCGTGTCCGACAGATTCTTTGCCTATTTTGGAGTGTCCGTGCTTCCCAGTAGTTATAGCAGAATGATGTCAAGGGCAGTTGATTTGGGTTTGTTGAGAGGCTTCAGCGTTGGTTGGGATGTTGCTAGTCAGCTGGAGATCTCCCATTTGATGTTTGTGGATGATACTTTGGTTTTTTGTGATGCGGATGTGTCTCGGATGAGATATTTGAGATGTGTTCAAGTTGTCTCTAGCTTGGAAGTTAATGTGGGGAAAAGTGTTGTAGTGCCGGTTGGAGAGGTCCCCGATATCTAGACTTTGGCTCTTGTTTTGGGTGGCAACACTGGTTCGCTACCCATTTCTTACTTGGGCCTACCTCTGGGGGCTTCATCTAGGAGTGTGGGTAGTTGGGATACAGTGGTGGAGAGGTTTGAGAAACGGTTGGCTGGGTGGAAGAAACTGTATCTTTCCAAAGGGGGGAGGGTCACTCTTTTGAGGAGTACATTGTTGAGTGTTCTGACTTGCTTTCTTTCAGTGTTCCAGATTCCCTCTTCAGTGGCTGAAAGGATTGAGAGGTTGCAGAGAAATTTTCTATGGGGTGGTAAAGGGGAGGAGTTCAAGTATCATTTGGTGTAGTGGGAGAGGGTTTGCAATCCAATTCAGCAAGGTGGGTTGGGAATTAATGCCTTTTAACAAGGCCTTCTTCGGAAATGGCTTTGGAGATTCGGGATAGAGAGAAACAAACTCTAGAGGAGGGTGATTATGAGCAGACACGGGGAGGCGATAGGAGGGCGGCACACCCCTGAGGTGAGCTTGCCATATAGGGTTGGGGTTTGCAAGTACATTTAGAAGGGGTGTAATGATTTCTCTAAGCACATTAAATTTCATGTTAGAGATGGCAGGAGGATACGATCATACGACTTTGGGATGACATCTGGTGCAGGGAGCGTTCCCTTTCTAGCACTTTTTCTAGACTCTTTCAGATTGCTTTTGATAGATATGCCATGGTGGTCGACTGCTATCGCCTTGATAGAGGAAGAACGGTGTGGGATGTACGTTTCTTGAGGCTATTTCAGGATTGAGAGATGGAAGATGCCATGAATTTCTTGGATTTGTTATATCGAAAGAGCTAGTGGAGGAGAGTTCAGACATCTGCATTTGGGCAACATCTTCACTTAGGCGTTTTGATGTTTAGTGGATGCTTTTGGAGTGTCATTTCCACTGATGGATGTTTGGCGAACAAAAGCGCCTCTCAAAGTAGCATTTTTTGCATGGTTATCCGTTTTGGGAAAGATCTTGACTCAGGACAACCTTCAGAGAATAAGAGATTGTGGTGAACCGGTGTTTTATGTGCAAAAACGATGAGGAAACGGTTGATCATCTTCTTTTACACTATCCTGTGGCCCGAGATTGCTGGCTTTTGTTTTTTTGGTTTGTTTGGGATTCATTGGGTTATGCTACGGCCTACCAGAGGCTTAATTGAGGCTTGGAGAGGGTGTATAGTGGGGGTCCCAGCTCATGACCCTTGGAGGGTTACTCCTTTGTGCGTTTGGTGGTGTCCATGGCTTGAAAGAAATAAGGGATCCTTTGAGGGAAAGGAAAATCATATTGGGTTATTTCTCCATTCTTAGCACCCTTTTTTGTTGGGTTCTAGGAAGAAATTGTAAATTCTTGAATGAGCTTGTACAGTTTTTGGATTTGTTGAGGATTTAGAGGACCTATTTGGCCTTGTGTTGTTTTTGAGGGACACGTTCCCCTTTTGAACATTTTTTTAATGAATTATTACTTATTAAATAAAAGAGTGCTACTAATGGAGAACTTTAGCCTACCAATAGGATTTTCCTTTCCTTCAAAGAATCTCCTATTTCTTTTGAGCCATAAACACCACGAAATGCGCAAAGGCATAACATTCCAGAAATCACGGACTTGGTCCCTCACTATACACCCTCTTCAAGCCTCCACCAAGTCTCTCGAGGACCTAGAATAACCCACTGGAAACCAAACAGATCCACAACACAACCCAACAGTCCCAAGCCATGGGGCAATGCAAATGAAGGTGATCCACCGTTTCCTCATCTCTTTTACACATGTAGCAACAGTTGACCACCACCTGTCTCCTCCACTTTAGGTTATCCCGAGTCAAAATCTTCCCCAACACAGATGTCCAATCAAAGAAAGCCACATTAAGGAGGGCCTTAGAACGCCAAATAGCCTTCCATGGGAAAGGATCTCCTAGGACATCTGAAAGACACCTAAAGAAGGATCGAACATCAAAATATCCATGAGAAGAGGGAACCCATTGACTAAGGATCGCCAAACAAATTATTTGCAGTTACTACACTAAAAAATAAGGCAATGAAGAAGACGACTAGAGATTTTATTTTATTTTATTTATTTTTTAAATAGCAGAAAAAGTTGTTTTTCACTGAGGCCTTGTGCCTGTATTTATATTGTTACAGTTCAACCCCTTCCCCTTCTTTTCTCGTTCCATCTACAAAGATCCACATTATCTTGAAATTCAAAAATTAGTTTTATCCATCCGAGTTGAAAATTTAAAATATGGGTTTGACCGGATTGACCAGGTCAGTTTGTTGAGTTCGACCCAGCTGCCTGGGTCGGTTTCCTGAGGTCTGCCAGGTAGGACGGATACCCCTACACATGTCGGATGCTGATTTACTCCTCTACTTGGTACAGATATCACGTCCTAATTGGGGGGATTTTTTTTCCTCCACACCATCTTATATCATTATTTGATTTTATCCAAGTCAATAAAGATTCTGAAATATCTACAAAACCTTACTACTGGTTAATTAGTAAAGTTAATCGGGAAAAAAATTAGAAACTTCATTTTACTTTTATAAATGGCCTATACATCCTTCTTTTAATGTTGGTTGTATTTTTCATTTTATTCTACGCATTTCAATTGCTTAATTAAATTCTATTCAGGCGCACGATCATCCTGATGAAGAAATTGACAGATTGGAGCCTGTGGATAATGTCTTGAAACAGAAAGGTAGAAGAAAAACTAATTCAAACAAAGAAAAGAATGCGGATGAAGCAATTGGAAAAAATAGGATGACAAAGGAAGAAAGGATTCACTTAATGGAAGAAAAAAAACAGCAGAAGGAAGTCAGTCTTTTTCTGATAGCATCAAATTTGCATTAAAATAAAAATTTTAGATATATGAACTGATATGAACTATTTCATGGACCATATTCAGCAAGAGAAGTTGCAGAAAGCCGCTCTGAAGGCTGAAGCTGCAGAGATGAAAAAATTGCAGAAAGAAAAGCAAAAGTGGGAAAAGGGGAAGTTTGCTTTAAAGTCCATTGTTGCTGAAATTGACGCTAAAGTAGTTGAACTATCAGTTGGAGGTACTGTCTTTCTTATATTCTTTAATTCTTCACTGGAAGTAGATTACTTATGTTGATCTTTGTTACCTACCTTCTGTATTTGGTGATGTGCTGAGCAAGCCTTTATTTTCGTAGTTTAGGACATTTGCTTACAAGGTTTGCAGAGAAAGGTATTTCATACCGTATAGTGTCAAATCCAATTGAGAGATCTATCACGTGGACCATGACTGTTCCAGAAGAAATTTCACAGGTGATCAATGCTTGAATTTCTCTACAAAGATCTTTCTGAGATCTAACGTTCTATCTTTGCCTTTCCTTCTATGCCGTGCCTAGTTTTTATAGTAAACAACCCTCATTCTTACCAACTGAAATACTACTTTAGTGAAATTTTCACATTTTTCCTGGAGTAGAGAAATGAATTATTGCACGATTGAGTTTTAATGTCATTTTATCCTAAAGGAGCTTAAAAGGGTCAATATGTGCATTAAATGGAATACATGATTGTGTTTGTTCTCTATCAAGTTGATATTTGATGTAGGAGGAACAGGCCCTTTATATTAAACAATTACCAAGTGCCGGGCTTGTGCTCGTTTTGTCATTGTTTCTTTATATTCTTTCCTATGTACAAGAAGTTTTGAGGAAGTAAGTATCATCCTTCCATTTCTTGCTTTCTTTTTATTTTACTTTTCTTTCTTTCTTTTTCTCCCATCTTTGTAATTAGTTATTCTCTGTTCTCTCCTGGATTGTATGAACAACTTGGATGAGACTCACGGGTCACAAATTTCTACCCATATTGTTTCTTTTAGCATGATCTTAGCATTCATACTACAGGACCTACCTAGTCTACGTTGGTTCTTTCTGTCTTGTAATTTTGTTATTTATATGGGTCTAGTTTCGCAAGCTGTTTAATTTTTTTTTTTTTCCTAAATGAAGAAAAGATTTATAAATAAAACATTATAGTACAAGGCTAGACATGAGGGCATACCCTCACAGCAGGCACAAGGACCCTAACAAAGCAAGGGCCTTGTTTGAAGTAAACTCTACCACCCAAAAGCCACCTAATAAGTAATATCTTGGAGGCATACCCCCAAGATATCCATGACCTCCCATAAGATGCATTTGGCAAAAGTATTAGGGTCCCTACAACTATTGTTATGAATTATACCTTTCCTTTCACTCCGAGTAAAATACAAGGTACCTGAAAATAGCATCCTGAACATCTTGTGTCGAACTCCATTAGCTGAGAATTGATGATAAAAAGCCACAGCCATGTCCATAATAGAGACCACTCTCTGAAGATGCCATCTGAAAATACCATCCATACAACTCCACACTGCCCAATTAAACTCACAACAGCAAAAGACATGATCCAAAGTCTCCTCTTGCTTAAAACACAAAGAACATCTTGAGGCCAGAGAGATGCCTCTTCTTTGAAGATTTGAGGCAGTTAAGATACCATTTTGCAGCACCAAGACAGAGTACCCAGCCCAATTCACCACTGGTTCTTTCACCCTGCAAGCTTCCCAAGCTGCTACTGCTGAGATTGCCACAACAACTGGTCAGTTCCACCATGGATACTATAAGTCTGTAAATACTGGTGTACTGCTACTGTGCTGTCATTAAACCTGGAACCATCCCATTGTTGATTTGTAATGAAGTGGCTCAAGGTAAGCAATATGTCTCTACTCAGGTACTGTAAAGTCCTATGGCTGAATCTCTCTGAAATAAACATACCCCCACACCATGGATCCATGAAATTTTTTATAGTATCACCATTCCCAATTCTAAAAGTACAATTCAGTTCCACAATGTCCCTGACAGCCACAATGCTTCTCCAAATGGCTGAGTGAGATGCCCTAGGGACAACGTGCCAATAAGAAATAAACATACCTCCTCCACTTGCTTCAAGCCTTCAAGCCTCTATTCTTCCAGTTCTAGATCTTCTGATTTTTCTTTTCCGACTTTAAATCTATGGCATGCTCGCCTTGGTCATGTAAACTTTTAGTATTTATGTCTGCTTTTCCCTTCATTAATAACGGCTTGTAAGGATAATAAGTTTCAATGTGAGATTTGTGAACTTTCTAAACATACTAGAACCAGTTATATTTCTCATATGCATCGTGCACCTAGTATGTTTGATCTCATACATTCTGATGTGTGGGGTTCTTCTCCCGTTACTGTTTTTCGGGGCATCGTTATTATGTCACATTCATTGATGATTATTCCTGCTGCACATGGGTATATTTACTTAAAAAGAAATCTGAAGTTTTTCCCATGTTCACTCAATTCCTCCAAATGATCAAAACTCAATATAAAATTGTTGTTAGGAATATCAGGTCTGACAATGGTCGTGAATATGTTTCCAATGAGTTTCGGTCTCAACTTAACCAACAGGGTATTCTTCATCAACTTACTTGTCGATATACCCCTGAACAGAATGGTGTGGCAGAGCGTAAAAACCACCAACTAATGTTAGTTGTGCGATGTCTTTTAAATGGTATGAATGTGCCAAAGTCATACTGGCACATGGCGGTTCTTACAGCTACTTTTCTCATTAATCGTACCCCTAGTAGTATTAAATGGTAAGGTCCCCTTACAAGTGCTTTAGCTTGATGTTACTCTTTTTTCCATTATGCCTCGGGTGTTTGGAACTTTGGATGTACATGTTTTGTTCATAATTGTAGCCCTTCTCATACTAAACTTGATGATAAGGCCATTAAATGTATCTTTTTAGGATACTCTTCAATGTCAAAAGGTTACCGGTGTTATGATCCTGTACAGAAACACATGTATAGAGGCTTCTCCTCTTGCTCGTCCTCTTCCTATTTTTCAAGAAGAGTCTTCTCTTGTGGTTTCCTCACCCCCTTTGCAGGTCTATTCTCGCCGTCCTCGTGCTCTGCCTCCACTGCCTTCATCCTCCTCAGATATAGGTTCAGGTACATCTCCTCTCTCTCCTTTACATGTCCCTGACCCTGTGCTTGAGTCTTGGTATCCCACTCGGGACTGCAAACACCTTGCTCGATTTGGATTCGCTTGTAGTACTGATCATCCTATTTCGCAGTATATCTATTATGGTGTCAGGGTCTTATCGAGCCTTTCTAGGCAAACTTGATTCCATTTCCATACCTAGAAATGTCTCTGAGGCTCTCCGGAATCCCAATTGGATGTCTGCTGTGATGGTAGAAATGGATGCTTTGCAGCAAAATGAAACATGGGAGCTTGTATCTCTCCCTCCTGGTCAAAAGACTGTTGGTTGCAAATGGATATTCAGTGTTAAATATCTAACTGATGGCTTTATTGATCGGTATAGGACCCATTTGGGGCTAAAGGGTTTACTCAGATTCCTGGTAAAGACTTTAATGATACATTTGCTCCAATGGCTAAATTAACCTCAGTTCGTTTGCTTGTCTCCCTGGCTGCCTCTCACAATTGGCTTCTTCATTAGCTTGAATGCTTTCCTTAACGGTGATCTTCTTGAGACTATTTATATGAATCCTCCACCCGGTTTTTGGGCTTAGGGGGAGTTTGCTGGAAAGGTCTGTTGACTGCGGAAGTCTTTGTATGGGTTAAAATAATCTCCCAGAGATCGGTTCAGCCGCTTCAGTGATGTAATTCTATCCATGGAGTTTGTTAGATGCCATTCTGACCATACATGTTTTATCCACCGTTCCTCCACTGGTCGATGTATCATTCTTCACGTCTATGTTGATGTTATCCTCATTACTGACAATGACATCCCTGGTATTGCTCAAGTAAAGCTTCAATTGGCTAAAGCTTTTGATGTGAAAGACCTTGGGCAACTCAGATATATCTTGGGAATTGAGGTTGCTAGATCTAAGCAGGTTTTCTCTTTATCGCAAAGGAAGTATGTCTTGGATTTTCTTTGAGACACGGGTATGCTTGGGTGTAAACTTGCTTCCACTCCTATGGATCCTAATATGAAAATTTCGGCTGAGTCTGGAGATCTCCTTTCTGCTCCCTCGCAGTATTAGCGCTTGGTAGGAAGATTGATTTATCTTACCAACACCCGTCTTGATTTGGCTTTTTCTGTTAGTGTTGTGAGTCAGTTTATGTTTGCTCCTTGTACAACTTATATGGATGTCTTATATCATATTCTTCGATATCTTAAGTCCTGTCCTGCGCTTGTATTATTCGATTCTTCTAGCAGACAGGTTGGGCTATCCTGTTTCAGTGATGTAGACTATGCTGGGTCCAAGATTGACAGACATTCCACATCTGGCTTTTGTACTTTCTATGGAGATCATCTTATATCCTGGAAAAGTAAAAAGCAACTTGTAATTTCGAGATCTTCAGCAGAGGCTAAGTATCGTTCCATGGCCCAAGGTACTTGTGAGATTCTCTGGCTTCGATCTTTCTCAGAGGAACTAGGGCTAAGTGAAAAACAGTCCTCAGACTTGTTTTGTGATAATAAGTCATCCATCATGCTTGCTTCAGATTCTGTTTTTTATGAGAGGACTAAACATATAGAGGTGGACATTCATTTTATCAGAGAGAATGTTCGTTCGGGAATTATCAATCCGTGCTTTGTTCGGTCCTCTAATCAATCGGCATATCTGTTCACCAAATCCGTTGGTCCATCTTTGCTTCATTCCTCGATTACCAAGCTGGGCTTGATTGATATCTTCACTCCAGCTTGAGGGGGAGTGTTGAAATATCTGTATTATTATTATTTTTATTTTTATTAGCTGTTTTAAGCCTTTTATTATTGTTTTATGTAAGATCCTCATTATCATGGGATCATGTAGATAAGATCCCCATAATCATGGGATCACATAGATTTTGGCATATTTCTTGTTTTTCTTTGATTTGGTTTCCTTTCTTTCTACCCTATTTTTGTATATAAATATAGCTCTTGGCTCTCGGTTTGATTAAGCCAAAACCCCAAACTTCTTCTTTTCAAACAAATCCCATCTTGGAATCTCCTCAAAACCCTTCACACCCACTAGGGTTTACACAAATTTACCCTAGGGTTTCAGTTACTCCGCTAGAGCTTTACAAACCATTCTCTGATACCATGTTGACTTTAAGAGATAATCAAATCAAGAGTAAAGTATAAGAAGAAGAAGAAAAAGAGAAGAAAGAGGATGAGAGAAAAAGAGAGAGAGATGGGGAAAGAGAGAGAATAAAAGAATACTTTCATCCTTCCACCACATTCTATTTATACTAACAAGTTTCAGAAAATTACACATAAGGCCCAACACTATATAAGTAATAACAAATAAGCCCCTGACAACATTTGGATGTATTAGTTTTAAAAAGAAAGAAAAAGAAAAAATCTTGAAAGATGTCTTGAATTTTTTAGTACTTCATATCTCATCACTAATCTCACTACTAGCATCTTGTATGTATTTCTATAAAGTAATTGCTTTTGTGCTTTCTGAGACTGCTTTGTGTGTGTTCAAAATTCTCATCCATTTGCATATGTATTTGTGCCAGTGTGCATTTTATACATTTATCTTAGAACCAGTATGTTAGTAATCTGATTTTAACATAATTGTTATTTGAATGTTCAACGTATTATGCTTTAAATTTATGTGGCTAGCAGTTCACATATATAGATATAGCTGAATGATATTACTTTATTCACTCATTGATACGCTTCCCTTGTCAGATACAAGGATTGTTGTTGGGATCCTGATTTCCTAACATATCATTGGTGTCTATTTTTTAAAGATATTGACCTCACTAATGTGTTGCAGCTTTCGTCCAAAGGAATTGAAATTCCATATATATTACTCGTGTATGAGGCCAAAGAGTTCTGCAACCTTGTTATGAATGAATCTCTTATTGATCATGTTTCACGTGTTCGGAGCTGTTATCGATCTCATACAATTTGCTACCTCACCAATCGGTTGATGGCGTATATCGATAAAAGGTTGATAGCAACTCTCTCAAAGACCTTTTATTTATTTAATGCTTGGTCATGTTTACCATTTTATTTTATTCTTACTTTTCAAGACATCATAATTTACTTTCTATTTTACTATAGTTCCATTATATATACACAAAAAACACACACATACACATATATGTTGTGGTTTTTGACATTTTGCATTTTTTTTCTTACTTTGCTTACTGTTAATTATTTTCGATGTGCTTATTATTATGGGTTATAGATCTGTTTTCTTTGAATCTCCAATGATGGTTGAGTATGGATGGAGATGTGATCAAACATATAGTGCTAATATTAATATCATTTTGGATTTAAGGTAGTCTCCTCAGTTTTTATCCTTTCTTCTGAAATCTTGAAGCAAATTTCCTGAAGAAATCAAAGACAAGACAAACTTAAAAATTTAGTGGTTTGCAGTGAGAAATTGGATATAGATTCGTAAACGCATATTTCATTTTTCTTGGTTCTTAGTAGTGCACGTTACATGTTTTTCTCATCAACAAGAAGTATACTGGGTGTCATTTTAGCAAAATGGTTTATGGGTGGAAAGAAGCTTCTGCAACTGCTCAGCAATCAAAGACAATGTGGGAGCTGGTGGTAGTGGCTCATCTCCAGATGGTGCAATTGCTGCAGTGTAGTGATCCTGCTCTTTGAAGACTACTGCTGTCCATGAACCAGCTTATTCACCAGTTTTGGGACACTGAGCCTTCCAATGACCATTATGTTGACAAAAACTGCATTCGTCAATACCAAATCTAGCACGCTGCCTGCTCTGTGTACTAGGATGAGGCTTAGGTGGGATAACCAAGACAATCTGACTAGGTAAAAAGAGGAGTCCATTTTCTGGAAAAGCTTTGAGACGAACTTCATAAGCCAACAGTTCATTAACCATTGAATCAACAGAACTCAGTCTTGTATGCTCCTTGAGTGTTAATACCCAGTCATAACAAAATAGAATTTCTATATATTCTTGTCACCCTGTATAGCAGTCCGAATCTCATATTCCAACTGATATCGTTTGGCAAAATTGGATGGTACATATAAATTGGAAAAATATTAAATTTCTTTAGCTGTGGAGAATTTGGCCAAATGCACACCAATAGATTGATCCACAAATTATTTACCCGAGTAATAATCTTGGCATTATTCACTTCCCAAGCGGGCAATAACTCAGTAGAATTCTCCGTCTTAGTATATTCTGGACTGTTACAACTCCAGTAATATAATCCCCATGTTCTTACCTAATAGAAAATTCCTTATTACATACGTCCAATGTGCATAATTGATCGAGTTTTTAACTGAAACATGTATTGAAGTCCAATAAATGTCGATTAACCAATTAGTCCAGTGCAGTTCGTCTGACCCAATAACTACTGCTGGCTTGTTAATTGAGTCACTGCTATGCTACGCAATGCAAGAATTGAGGATTGAGATTTGATGCAAACATTTTATGCAATGGAGTTGACTGCAAACCCTAGGTCGTGTGGTTGGTTATGTGATGGAGCCGAGATTGTGCGATGAAGCAGAAGTTGTGCTGTCGTGGTAAAATGTGATTCAAACAGAATGAGGAGAGTCGATCAATGCATTGAAGTTCGCACATTGCAATGCGATCAAACACTGCTCTGATACCATGTTAACTTTTGTACAACAAGAAAGAGGGAATGGAAGAAGAGAAAAGAAAGGCTTCAATTGTATTGTATCAATCAAATAATGTTACAGACTACAAAAGACGTATAAATAATAAAGAAATATGCACTGAAGGGCTGACTAACTAAAAGAGAGGAAAAGGAAACACTACCCATAAAATCTAAAACAATTATTTAACAATTCTTATATTTATTTCAGCTCCTTCTCTTCCTCTCTAGGGTATTCCTCATTTAATAAGTGATGAAAATAATTTTTCCATCTAGATAATATATGATTTTCTTCAACTAATACTGTATTATAATATGTCCTTGATACATCTTAGGCGTAGACATGAGAGTACGAGAAAAATTATCAAATTTTGTGCATGTGTGCATATTCATATCAGCATATTTACATACATTAATAGATACATATAGATATATGACATGTTGCATTATAGTCTTATAATATTAACTTTTTGTATAAAATATATTTTATGTTGAAAAAACATATTTTATTGCTGTGTCCTCGCTATGTGCATGTTCTACTTTTGTAAGGTTTATTTTGTCATCATATCTGTGTCTTTTTGTATCCTTGTCCATACTGGTGGCTTGATTAAAATTTTAAGTGGCTGGGTTCTTGGAAGTTAGATGGTAAAACTATGATGATCTAGATGTGTGTGTGCGTGTATATATATATATATGTTAGGGCAGTGGAAGTGCGCAAACACAAAGATCCAATGAAAGCCAACAAAGCAATCACACACAAATACAAGATATACATGGTTCACCCAAATTCAGGGCTATGTCCATGGATGAGAAGAGATTCCACTATGATTCATAGAGATATTACAATATTAGAGTACCAACACCATGTACATGTCTTTTCACCATGTATTACTCCATGAGCATATCTCCAAGCTACCAATGTTGCCGGTGTTTTTCCTACTCAACTAATTCACATACTACCTCTACCCATCAACCCCCTCATGAGACTACATCTCTCTCAAGCTCATAAGTCTCAATCCAAAGCCTATGTATCTATTTATAGTGTTTCAAACCCAATCCCTTGTTGGACAAGGATTACAATTTCTTAGAGGCCAACACTTGCCAAGCAAAAAATTATTAAACAGAATACGACTCAAAATAGAAACATAATTAGAATAAGAATTTGAGACACAATTTCCTACAATCTCCACCTTAACTTAAATTCCATCGAGCCAATCATTGCTTCCACGGCATTGATCAGACAATTCTTTTGCAGCTTTAATCTTGACGATCCTCCTACAAAACTCCGATTGTCCACACTCTACGCTACTCGATCAGTCAAACCTCTAAGGCTCCACCTTGACTACTCGAGCTTCATATCATGTTACCAAGCCGATTGACTCCACCTACAACTGAAGCTTGTTGCAGCATATGTTGAGACTTCTTGTGTTTTCTGGATCTCCTTCACCTTTGGCTCTGATTCCAATTTGTTAGGGCAGCGGAAGCGTGCGAACACAAAGATCCAATGAAAGCCAACAAAGCAATCACACACAAATACAAGATATACATGGTTCACCCAAATTCAGGGCTACATCCATGGATGAGAAGAAATTATACTTTGATTCGTAGAGATACTACAATATTAGAGTACCAACACCAAGTACATGTCTTTTCACCACGTACTACTCCACGAGCCTATCTCCTCTCTACCAGTGTTGCCGGTGTTTTTCCAACTCAACTAATCCACATACTACCTCTACCTATCAATCCCCTCATGAGATTACATCTCTCTCAAGCTCATAAGCCTCAACCCAAAGCCTATGCATATATTTATAGAGTTTCAAACCCAATTCATTATCGGACAAGGATTCCAATTTCTTAGAGGCCAAGACTTGCCAAGCAAGAAATTACCAAACAAAATACAACTCTAAAATAGAAACATAACTAGAATAGAAATTTGAGACACAATTTCCATCAATATAGTATATGAATGTCAAGGCGGTTTTACTTATCAATAAATAAATAAATAGTCGAAAATTTAAAACAAGGGTCTTGGCCTCTTGGGGTTAATACTTATATACTAACATCACTAAGATAACTTCATAGAAGTAAATATACTTTGTTCTGTAATTAGTAAAGTGGCACTTTTGATGATAACATTTGTAACTTTAAGGTTCCATGGAGTATTAATCTCTATTAAGGCACGTGTCTAGAGAATTAGTCTCTACTCACTATTTATTGTTGGGGACGCCCTGGCATTACAAAATTTGATGCAGAATTGTTTTGATGGGTGGCAGTATAATGATTATTGATCAAACCGTTCTGCAGCAGATAGTTTTGTTTTCACATATTCTGTAGGTCAGGTTGACTCTATTTTATTGTTATTTTTTGTGTTTATGCTGATCTTTGGAAATTTATTGTTTCCTTAACATTGTTAATCTCTTTTTCTACTTGAGAAGGAAAGATGGTCATATAATGGGATTGGTTCTGTTATTGAAAATTTAGTCCCATAGTGTGAATTCTTGAAAACATTGGTAGTGTCAGATGGCTTAGCAGCAAAGAAAGAAAAAAGATAATTGATTTTGGCGAAGTAAAAATAAAAGGAAAAAAAAAAATAAATAAAGGAAGAAAGGACCGTAAACTCTCTGGTGAACATTTGTTGATGTCAATTTAATGCAGAAAGGGCTAATAGGCACAATCTTTGGGTTTTTTGGTCGGAGCAGCATCTTTTTGTATTCCCGAAACCCTCCTTTCCTTGTCATAGCTATTTATTTGTCTTTCACGATTGGTTAAATCTGTGTTCCCCTAAATGAATTGCACTGACAAAATTTAATACCACAAAGGTGTGCAAAATAATGCAATGTTTATTTGATATGTCCATTTTTATATGTTATACCTTGTTTATTTGCAGGTGAAAATTAGTTTTTCCATAAGCAGATGGCTTTGCCTAAAATGCAATATGCTTTATTGATACATTTGTTCCTTATTCTGGATTCTGGTTTTACTTACAAAAATTCAATTAATATTTGTTTGTATTTTTACTTATTTATTTTGCAACGTACCTGGCAATTTTATTCAAATTGATACTGTTTGGTTTAATAATATATAATTATCTTGTGTTATATTATGTAGGATTTATAAGTATGTGATTATGCAACGATTTTAAACAACCAATTTTGATATTGCATTAGGGAACAAGAACAGTACAAGAACCCCACAAATTGTAGCAGTTGGACACGTCCACCAGTAGAGGAGGTTGTTGGATTTTAAATTTCAATGCATAGAATTTTGAGAAATATCTTTAGTGAATGAGCTTAAAATGTTGACACTGTTGTATTGATTTCTGAAATTTGTGATTTTTACAGGTGCTGTCTAAACTAACCACCCATTTTGTTAGGGTACAGTCAAGACAGTGTAGAGATGAAGCTGAATTAGCTGAACATGTTGTTGGTTTGACTTCCAGCCTGGCTTCTTGCCAATTTAGGTACTGAATCGTCAGCAATTATTTTTTAGCCCAATAGAATGTTTAAGATATGGGCTATAAATAAGTAAATATACATATCATTGAAATACATCTATTTAGGCCATTATCTTATTGATATATATGGATTTGATGGAAGTATGTAAGCCCAAGATTTAAGATGATTTGCTTTTAGGCTTCACTCCATACATAACGTAGTGTGGTGATTTTGTATAAAAACCAACTCTTTCACTATCTTCTTCTCTTCTGAGGAAGTACAAAGTGCAGAAGCTTCCTACTCAACTGTAAACCTGCTTAAATCCTATTTTTCTTATTGTTTTCCTTGTTTTAAGAGGTTTGAATATTTTTTTTATTTAGTTCGTGCTTGAAAGCTTTTTGTTGTGCAAATATATTCTTTATGGTGGAATGAAATATAAGATCACCGTGACACCATCTGCAGTCCTATTGTCTCTGTTGTTGACAGCATTCATGAAGTGTGGTGTTGGCAACAACAGTGTATACAGTTGAGGGAAATGCTTGTTCTTTGAGGGAAGTTGTCTAACAACATTCATATGGCCATTGTATTTTGGGTTTTGTTAGAAGTATAATGCTTTTAGCACATAGTACAGACTGAGGAAACTCACTTTTGTGGGTTGGCAAAAACTAATTGCAAACCTGTCAATTTAGCTAGGATAGCAGGGTCCTTAGGGTTACTACCTTGAGGTCTCAAGTTCGAGTCTAAATTAAGGGATATCCATGGTTTGCGAGTGATTGCTGATATTTAGAGTTTACATTGTAGCCACCCGTCCAAAGGGCGACTGGTTGGAATGGTTCCTCGTAACAGAAAAAACCAAATTGCAAATGCTTAATCAAAATTTCAATATGCCTTAAATTATCCTTCAGTAATTTTCTATGGTTTACCTTTACTATAATTATTGTCACACTCTAATTCTTCCCATCCCTCTGCGTGCTTATTTTTATAATTGCTGGTTAATATTCTAAATCTACCTGTTTTCTTTTTTCTTTTTACATTAAACTGCAGAAAGAAGTTAACTCGGTTATCTGTAAATGCTAATGGATCCCTTATACCGAATGATTGCTTTGACAGGAATCTAATAAAGAAGAGCTTGTGGTAAGTAGTTTCATATGATATCATATTATCACTTTAAAAGTGTAGTTTTTTTTTACTAGCAAATAACTGGCACTACGAACCTTATATAATGTCTTATAGTCATGATTTTTATCTTTCATTTTATTGGTGAACAGAACATTTCCATTATTTCAGACGCTTATTAAATCTATAAATTTGTTGCATCTTAGAATAATATGGAGTTACTGGTAATAACATTTATCGCTGCATAATTTTGCCAGACATGAATCTGCATTGGCATTATTGGATGACAATTTTTTATTTATTATTATTTACTATTATTATTTACTATTATTATTATATTTACTTTACAACTTTGGTATTCTCATATGTATGGTTGATATCAACTTGTGCCACTGTCCTAGTTGATATATTTCTGGACACTATCGTTTTGTTATGTAGGACTAACGTTGATACTTGTATTAAATTATGGAACGATTAGGCACTGTGGTTACAGCTTGTGCTGTAAATATGGAAGATTAGCTTCATGTTTCTCAACTCTGATAACTTGTTGTATTCTTAGTGCAAATGGTCCTTTACGTTTTTTGGGCAATTTGTCATTTTTTTTATAATTTTCCCTACATGAAATTTACTTTATGTAGCTACTGTATTAAAATTTTCATTTGGAGAGTTGGAAACTGCACTCATCTTTCCTCTTTCCCAACATGTGCAACAATAGAACTTTGGACTTCTCTGTCAGGCTTCAACCTTTAACAAACATATGAGTCAATGTTACTTTTTGGGATGTCCAAAAATATAAGTCCACTTCCACTTTTGGATGTATAACTTTTTGAAGTTTCCCTTTGCATTGAATTTGGAAACAAATTAAACAACCAAAATGGAGGACCCACGATCTTACGTAAACTATTATAATAACACATATAAGCAAAGTGATATTTCAAATTTAAAATTTGAAAATGTTTGTAGTGTCATTTCACAATTTTGTATTGGAGCAAATCTCTCCACTAAGGGTAATTTTGGAACGTGACTTATTCTTTATCCAATATAAAATATTAAATTGCCCTATCCATTAAAAGTTAGATTCTGAAATTGGACTTATAGTATGGGATGGAGGGAGTAGTTTTTGGACATTGTGTTAAATCAATGTTTATCTATTCTTTAGGTACTTTAATGCAAGGTAAAAGTTGATGAGTAAGTGATGTAAATAAAGAATGGTGCCTTGAAAAGTGTCTTGTTGTTTAATGAAGTTAAAGCTCATCCTTATTTCTATAAAAATTGATAATCAAGGTTTGGAAGTACCAAGTGTTTGCTTATGGAAGTGGTAAAAGTATTACACCCTCTGTCCCAAAAAGAAAGTCTTTCTTTGGGAACTGTGACTCACAGTTACAGAGGGAGTATTAATGTTGTGTGGGCCTGTAGGGATTCAAAAAGTCATTCTAGGAGAAATCAGGAGTCATTAGTTGTGGTTAGTTATTATTCTTTAGAGTGAGTTATTATTTCCTTTGGTTATGTTACCCTAGGGGTATTATTATATTTGTCTCACGTCTGATGTAAATATATGACAAGAAGGGGCAGATTAATTTAGAAGTGTGCCCTAAACATTTCCTCTGATCGCTCTCTTCCGCTATCTTGTAATCTAATCCTAATTATCACCTTTTACTTTGTGCAATTTTTTGAGATTGTGTGATAGGTGTTTTCTATTTTTTGAAGTATTTTCAAAATTTTTGTCTGGTTTTGGTCGATCTGTTTCTTGATGAGTTTAGGCCCAAAGATTTGGAACTAATCCATACAGAGGTGCGGTTAAGCCTCTAGGACTCTTTTATTTGATTTATGTAGAGCCTAGTTCCATTTTTATGGATTTGGTTGCCTCGAAGGGCGTCGGTGTGTTTTTCGGTTCGTTTCTTGACTGAAAATTCCCAGTATTGCTGTTTTGGTTATATTTGGTCCTTTTTCTTCAGTAAATTGCATTCGATGGTGGTGTTTCCCCCCTTTCTTGGTCAGGATTCTTCATTGACTTGCATTTCGCTTGAGTTTTGGTCTACATTGGTTGTGTTTGATTTTGCATGGCTGAAGAAAACAAGGATGATGATATACCTAAATCTATTACCTTAAATAATGTTGAATGCTATGAATTTACCTAGCTTGACCACATGGGGAAACATGAATTGAAATATTTTGGCAGATAATCCACCTGCTAAGATGTACCCAAAATATGAGGACTGGATGTGAGGATTCAACTGCTATGGGGTGGCTGTGGCATGGTATGGAACTGCAGGGTGCTACTACATATGATTTTTGTAGCTGTATTAGATTTTTCATTTTATTGAACACTTAACACCAACATGCACAAAATCGCCACCCAGCGCCCCTCAACGTGCACCCAGCACCCCCTAAGGTGCACAACAGCACCCCCCAGTGTCCCTCACCAGAGGCCCCTTAACGTGCACACCAGCACCCCAAGCGCCACCTAACATGGACCCCAGCGCCCCCCAGCTTGCACACCAGCTCCCCTCAGCGTGCACCCCAAGGTGCACACCAGCACTCCTCAACGTGCTCACTCGGTCCTCCGAATTTTCTAGGGGCGCATCGGATACCACGCGACATGTGGTGCTCGTCCAGCCACTGGACCTTACCTCCGGCTGAGCCGTTTCCAGGGTGGGCAGGCTGTTAAACAGAAAAGATAACTCTTCCCGAGGTCCCCACCGACGTCTCTGGACTCCCTAACGTTGCCGTCAGCCGCCACGTTCTGGGTGTTGATCTTGCGCAGTTGTACGTGTCGGCGTATGGGTGGTGTTTGGTTTGCGCAGGTTGGTTTGTTCCCTGCTTGTGCGGTGAAGTTAGCTCTAGCGTCGCTCTTCAGTTGTGCTACAAGGGCATGTTATTTCCCTTGGTCGCCATGCTGGGTTCCGTGTTGCACACCTATTAATGGAAATTGATTCTCACTGCTCATTTCTCTCTCTGTGCCATCAAGTGGCATGGGGTGACCCTCGTAGGCTTAAACTCAGCGGGTTGCCCCGGCTGAACTGGGGTCGCATTTCAGTCACCGTCGGTGACGACGCTTCGAGTTTCCCGCTGCCGACGTTGATGTGTGCAAGAGGATTTAGGAAATGGAAATGCAAACATAATTGTAAAATTCAAAAGTTAAGACCATGTAGATAATCGAATTAACTTGCTTAAACCAAAATAACTCAACAAATATGTAAGTAATCTAAATTATTTAAGTTGAAAGTAAGAGAGATGAGGGCAAGGAGATGCAAACTGTAACGTCCCTCACCCCTACCCATTAAAGCTGTGATGGCCGTGAACTTATCAAAACTCTGGAGTTAAGTGTGCTTAACCTGGATTAGTACCAGGATGAGTGACCTCCTTGGAAGTCTCTGGTCCGGGGGAGCCAAAAGCGGACAATTTTGTGTCTGGGTAGGGTGAGGACTGTTACAAATGGTATCAGAGTTTGACCAGCCGGAAGTGTGCCGACGGGGAGGTCAGGCTCCCAAGGGGGGTGGAATTGTGAGGCTCGGTGGGCTGGAGCAGGCCTGTGAGAGGTAAGGCTCTGGTGCGAGCTATGTGTGCTCACAATTCCCACATTGCGGGGGGTTGCGGAAAAGTGAAGTGCTATATGTAGGTTCATCACCCTTCTATGACACAACGCGATTTAAAGCCATGATGGCCGTGAACCAATTAGAATTTCGGAGTTAAGCGTGCTTAACCTAGATGAGGGCCGTTATACGCATTTTAAAACCGTGATAGTCGTGAACCTATTAGGACTCCAGAGTTGAGCTTGCTTAACCTGGAGTAGTACCAGGATGTGTGATCTCCTGGGAAGTCTCTAGTCCGGGGGAGCCAAAAGCATACAATGTTATCTCTGGGTAGAGTGAGGGCTGTTACACTAATACAAAGAACACCAAGTCGTAATGTGGTTTGGCACCCCCGCTGATGGGGAACGAGCTATATAATGATTTTCATGGATGATGAGTCGCACGTGTTCAAGCTCTACTTTTGGAAAAGGGGAAAAGAAAGATAGAATTAGGAGATTTAGTATAGTAGGGTTTTATTTATGCTTATGGTTATTTTTAGTAATGTTTGAATTTTAAGGATATTTTAGGATTTTATTATCTAGGGTTTTGTTATTATTTTGCCTATATAAAGGCTCCATTGTAATATGAGAACTCAGTTTTGAGAAATCGAATATTATCATTGAGTTTGCAAACTCCCTTTGTGTCTCTTCTTCCTCTTGTTCTTGCTGTTCTTAATCCCTCCGTCTATCTATCCTACCTTCTCCTTCAATCTGATTCTCATCCCTATTCTTCTGTCTTCTCACCTCCTTCGTCTAGCCTCATCTTATCTTCTTATTCTCATCCCTTTCTTTCTTTCTAGTTACTATAAGTTACTACTTGTCTTGTGTCAATTGGTATTAGAGCAAAACGATCAAGTTTATTCAGAGTGAAAAATCACAGATCGTCATTGCCGGAGTTCTCTCTTGTCGCCAATATCCCTTGCCGTCAGCCCTCCTTCATCTGTTGTGCAACATCTTGGCTTTCTCATCAATGTCTGTCACATCTTGACATCAGCCTGTCGTCGAACAGTCTTCACCAGAGTTTGTCGTCGATTTCATCGCCTCATCATCGCTGCAATCTTTCGCATCGCAACTTCAGCTGAGAATTCAGTGTTTGACTTTGGTAAGTCAAATTTGGTTATTGTCGGTATCGCCACTTCAGCACAGAATTCAGGGATTGATTTTGGAAAATCAACTTTGGATTATTGCAATCTTTGAGATCGTTACTGTCACCAAAATTTCATCGCCACTGATTTTGGAAAGTCAACTTTGGATTATTGCAATATTGTCACCAAAATTTCAGCGCGACTGAATTTGGAAAGTCAACTTTGGATTATACCTTCTGGTTTGGAAAGATCAGATTTGAAAATCAGAATTGGTTTGGTAAGGATAGATTTGGTTTCTCTTATAAACCAGATTCTACCCGCCCCAAATCAATTAAAACAATTTGACCTGGTCCACGAAGCAA